GGTAGCCTGAAATCAGTTTGGTACAGAACGTATAACATTCAGGACACTACCTCCAGCTTTAGTTACATGCCTCCACAAGGAATGGAGGACACCACCACTAAAAACACCAGACATGTCTTGGCACTCTCTGTCTTTCAGTTAATGCTGTTGTTAAACACACTGAGTTTCCAGTGGCTTCTATTCAGTATGCATTCAGCTTTCTCATCTCATTTCGCTTCCAGTATTCCCCTTCAGAGACTGCAGAATAATCTCTTTAAATATAATTTATTACTAAAACATTCTCCCCCTTGATAAGCTGAATAAAAATCTTTATCTTAATTCTTCTATACTGCTAGTAGGTAATATCCATGCATAATCCTAAATATATTTTGACACATTCAGATGCTTTTATCTTCTTCAGAACTACATAAAACATATCATACAACCACAAAAAAAAGCAATTAAAACAAACAAACAAAAAAGGCACAGCTTACGTCTGGAGTGTGCACTTCATTTCTGACGATCTTTTACATACACAGCAGTTCCAACAATATTGTTCTGGTAGAGACTCCCGATTTACTTTTTTGTTACTACAATAACTATTACAGTAGGATACTTCATCAAAAGCAAGCAACTGAAATTCATCTCATGCATGGCAAAATACATTCCAATGGCTATCACTGGAAACCTTGGTTTGTAAAAAAAAAAAAATCAGCACAAAATTCTATTTTTACCATTTCCAATTCCTACCTTTTATAAGTCAATTTCTTTTGAATAATACTGACAAACTTAAGAGGAGGTCAAACAACAAATAAAGATACAGTGTCACCATTGCCTCCATTTAGGCAGAGATGTAATTTTCTTTCTGTATGTAGCCCAACAAGTGAGATCCCATAGAGAAAGACTATTACATACACGTTAAAGTGCAGGCCTATAGCCCTAGACTTTCCTATTGCAAATAACTTCTCAAAGCCTGATGTGCTGCTCAAACAACTCTCCTTGCTTAGATGGCAAGAGATTCCAATCTCCAGAATATGTATTTGTGATCCATCTTTTGAAAAACTTCCCTTATCAGAATCATTATATCCAGTGATATACCTACCCTAAGCATGTAAAGTTGTTCTGTTAGATAATATGGTAACATAGTAAGTTTATGAGGTCACTTTGCTCTTTTAATTAGCATTTAAAAGAAACAGGGATACTGAAAATATTCTAGTTAAGTCAACCCCAGGGAAATAACAACAAATGATTTTACCCTAAGCACATCTTATTTATGGGCACACTTGCATATATGTATGCTAGTATAAAGATGGGTAATCACACATGTTTATGAGACCTGGTTATATTGATATAGCAGACGGGGTATAACAGACCAGTCATTAAGAAAAGATATTAAACAAGGAACTACACATAAGGCCTATCACCAAGTGCTCAAAGTCTCCAACTTAATTTAAATAAATGGAAACTGAAAGACAATAAACAGCCTCAGGGTCTACAAGCAAAACCCACTATAAATATGATCAGGTATGTACATGATAGGACAGTGAGAGCTATAGTAGTATCACATACATACTTTTGTTCTTACCATCTAGAAAGTTGAAATTGCATTTCCAGTGGAGATTCTGCACACAAAATAAAGACAGTTATAAGATTACCTTAAATTAGGCAATCTGAAACTATGCACTGAAGAGTGAACCAAAGAAGTGCTAGCTGAGAGGATTATTCAGACATTTGTAACAGCTGTGTTGAAAGTAAGATAGTATCAAAGTTGACCTTTTGCACCTTTGCCATTGTCATGGTTTAGGCTCAGCCAGCAACTAAGCACCATGCCACTGCTCACCTGCTCACTCCACCTCCCCCTCAGCCCCAAGGGGATGAGGGGAAGAATTGGAAGAAAAAGGTAAAACACTCGTGGGTTGAGATAAGGACTGTTTAACAGGACAAGACAAGGAGAGAAGAACTACTACTACTACTACTAAAAGAATATACGAAGCAAGTGATGCACAATGCTATCACTCATCACCTGAACTGATGTCCAGCCTGTTCCCTGCCAGCTCCCCCAGTTTATATACTGAGCATAATATCACATGGTATCGAATATTCCCTTGGCTAGTTTGGGTCAGCTGTCCAGGCTTGTCTCCTTCCAGCTTCTTTTGACAATTAACTCTATCCCAGTCAAACCCAGGACAGCCAACTGTGTCCTTGGCTTTGCCAGCCTAGACACTGATCTCTTGGAAGAACTGCATTCACCAGACTAAAAAATTGTTAAAACAGTCATTCTGGGGAAGGGAGGGACTCTTGAAAAATTATGTAAGCATCATGCATCTGGTGATGTCTTGATCTAAACCCCTGTTAATATAGGCAAGAATCAGATTGCATTTTTCTTTGATTATATCATGTGCATTTTTCCTATCAGATTTTATATTTAATTTTACAGTCCTAAGTTTTTAAATCACACAGCTGTACACTTTGTGAGAAGTCAAACCATGCAATTCATTAATCATGAGTTCTTCATTGTTTGTTCACTTTGAGTTCATATCCAGAACTCTCAAGTACAGCAATTTATCAGCTGTACCCTGATGTGCTAGCTAAAGTTAAAATACAGCATCAAAGTAAAACCATACAAAGAAAGGTTTCTCTTATCTATGCCTCATGCTGCAAGATTGACCTCCTGTAATCATGCCAATGACTGGAGTCATAAAACAGTCTCCAAAGGAAAAGGTTTTAAAAGTTTTGAACTTTTTTTAGTGTTTAGGTTGAAAGGAGTTCATCTTTACTTTAGAAGCATCTAGTGTCCAAGGAGTGCATCTACCTTTGGGCAGAGGTATTATTATTAAGCTAGAGCTATACACCCAGACTAGAAAGCCAGATGATTAAGTACAGTCCATTAGATGCTAGCTGCACAAAACCAAAAAACAAAACAAAAAAATCACTCCATCTTTTGGAGGAAAATTATATATCCAAAGCTTTATGAACTAAGCATTTGATACCAAGTCTAATCAGAGGCTTTACTGAGTTCAATAGGCTGTGAAGCCTTTAGAAGCAAAGTTTGGAAGTGGGCAGGAATCCTAGAATCACATACAGGTAGTCACTGAAAAGTTAAACGTGTATCTTTATTCTGACATTGACATGCCAATATTTCAACCAAGTATGCCACAATGCATATGCATTCCCCTTAGAAACAGACAACTGAATTTTTGGCATAAGAGCCTATTTTGACAACTAGGGAAAAGCAGCACATACAGGAATCATGAAATTAAGGCTGATTCGGTCTGCCTGTTTAGAGTTACAAGAATAACTCATCTCAGAGCTTTTCTTCCAATAGCACAACTTCCTTTGCTATTTAATTATTTTTTCATTCTTTGCCATCTTCTCTTTGCAAGAAAAAGTGGTGCTTGGAATAAAATGCTATAAAAATGGCTGAATAAGGAGATGTTAGTCCTCTATTATGGCTGATAGGTCTAATGTCTGTTTGGGTTGCTCTTACAGGGAGCAAAGACATAGCTTTACACACCTTTCAGGCAAAAGGGAGATCGGAGCCTAGGCCTCCCACATTCTGAGTGCTTCCAGCTCTCCAACCACATCCTTCTTTTGTGAAGAATCTAGGCATCTAACTTTGTACTTTCTTGTTGTGCTGTACATCAAACCAGTTAATTTTAAGAAGGTCACTACTTGGCTCAAGCTCACAAGCAGTCAACTTGCTCTTGAACTGCACAGGCCTTTTGGGCAGGGACTGCAGGTTGGAAGCGTTATTCTCAATATTCAAGACGCGCCCAAATCTAACTGGTTACTATAGAAGCAGAAAATCTTCCATGCATCAGTACTAACGTTTCACATTGGGAATGACTTTTAATATGTCCTACACACCCCAATCCTGCAGTCTTGCACAGGAAAATGTCAAGGACAGGTGCCTTACATAACCCTCTACTTGTTTGCTTCCACTAACCTAGACTCACATTTAAGCTCATTTTTAGAATACAAGTGGAATCATGTTTATTTAGTACAGAGGGGTGAATTCCATCATCAAAGAAACCTTACTGAAAAGGAAAGGAAGCATGATATTGATCACAGTAGAGCTACCTTCAAAACTCGTTATATTTGGTTATGAGAAGCGTCACATTGTACTTGATTGTAGCGAGCTTATTTTCTCTCAAAACCATAGTCCAGGTACACAAAACAGGAGTCACACAACAACTCAAACACATCCTTCTTAAGTATTTCAGAAGGGAAATACATTTTCTTGGCTTTTGTTTTTCCCCAAAAGCTTCTTAGGAAAGCTAAGTTCTAATACACATCTGAAATAACATTATAATCATGCCTTCAAAACACAAGCTAAATAATCACACTCCTGGTTTATTGCAAAACAAGCTGAATCCTTAATAAGTGCTTAATGTATTCAACCAGGACCCACCATTTAGCACTAAACAGCAGCTCCTATTGATACACTACTGAATTGTGCATATAGTGTCTACTTCATAGACAAATCCTGTTTTAACTCACTGGGATGCTTTTTTCTTTTTAAATTAAAAATAATATAATTATCTTTTGTCCAGAAGTAATGGAAACTATTAAGTGCATAGGTACTGAAGTGAATGGAGAAGTCTAGTACTGTTCTAAATTCAAAAGCCATCCATTCTCTTCAACAGAGAAATCTTTCTGATTTTCTTTTTATGTAACCAAATTTGAGAAAGTGAAGTTTAAATGGTATCACAGAAGAGCAATTAGTAAAAAATACATAATGAATACGCATCTTCTCAAGTCTCTTATTGTCCATTTTCTCCATAAGTATAAATTTGCTCAGCAAATCTGTCAATTTGCAGTTAATCCAAAGCTGATCAAACATGCAGACAAGTATACATAGTACTGAGTCACAAGGTCAATTTTTCCCGGTTACGTTGTCTTTATTGTGGATTCCTCCATTTCACTAAGGGCTTTAATACTTAAATATTGTCTTATTAACCCTTATGTGTAATAACCACAGCATCAGTGATAAAAATCAATGCATATATGAAGAGACTCACTAGCTTGTTGATGGTGTTCTTCACTTTGGAATGGGCTGAATTCGTAAGTAGATACCTTGCTTTTCAATAACAATGTCAGAATATCATCCATCTTCTCTACAGAAGAAAATTTAAAAGCCTGTTTCAAAGAAAAAAAAAAAAGAAAAAATATTAGTGCAATTGTTGCATATGTATTTTTAACTTTATCCTCAGAGTGCTAGTGAATCAAATTACTCAAAACAGTATTATCAGAAACTCATTCTTAGTAAGAGCAGCATAGGGTTTGAAAGCTACAGAAGAGATATTCTAATAAAGAAGGCTCATGATAACACAATCCAATTGAAGAAAACTAGGTATTATAGCTTATTAAATTCAGCTGTGACTAAGAACTTCTGGATGAAGGGTAAGGACAGGAAGATTTGTGTTTATCAACTCTCGATTTAGCTACAACAATGCAGTGTAATAGCCAGGAACTGTTCTAACAGATGCGAGGTGTCAATAAATCCAAGGTCTTACTACAGCAGTAATTCAGGATAAGTTTAAAGACTTCAGTAGCTCTCTGTTACCCAAAACCTTTACATTAAGATTCCATACTTTGCTAAGTAGAAAATAGCTTCAGTTCCATAAGCCAAGGCATAACATTGTTGACAGATACAGAAACTGACAGCTACCAGTTAGATTAGCTTTCCACTAAACACATAGTCTAGACAAGGGAAATCCTCACTGACTGCCATGAGTTCTTTTTTTGATTGCCTCTTTCTGGACCGAAGGCCAAGGTCTATTTCTAATGACTCTCAAGGTAGCCATAATTAAGCGCTCCTTTGCTAGATGTGACAAGAGAAGCATTAGTACACAGATTTGAACAGTAAGGACATTTTATGCTGAGTACTATGGTCCTAGTCTCTGTGCTGCACTGGGCACCAAAAGGAGGTCAGCCACAGCGGAGAAGCTCTCAGTAGGAGTTGGTTTACTCTGCTCAGATGTCAGCAGCCCTGCAGCAAAACTTCCCTTCCCATAGCTGAACTGTTGCTGGTCAAGAGAATTCTGGGATCACTAACAGGAAATATCTGCAGACACACTTAGCATACAAACCTAAAAAGAAACTCTGTGACTGACATGCTGAGGAGAAAAGGACAGAAGGGTCTACTGATGAAACCTGAAGTTTAATTCCAGAGGCTGTTAAAAATGAGTAAGAACTTAAGCGTGATGTGATCAGAAAATGTTGAGTACACATGCAGGACAAAATTTTCATCTGAGACCTACCCAGAACTGGAAGACAAGTTTGTGCAGGTAGGCAACTACCAACAATAAAATATGACTGCTTATTTTTCCCATAATTAATACTGACCCTTCCAATACTGATTATGATACACAATTCTATTTAGTAACTTGTGACGGTACAAAAAGGGTGAATTATGGAAAGAAATGGGTCACATTATATTCTCTTTATTTGTTATTCAATAATCATGAATACATAATTTAGTCCTCAATAACCAAAGCAATAAGCTTAAAAAAAAAAAAAAAAAGCCTCTGCCCAGAAAAAAAATATCTTTAAGGCTTGTTCTAGAATAAAGATCTAACCTGAGTACCAGACTTACAATGTGAATTGAGAAAGGATATGCAAAACCTCCCAAATATCTATAACATCCCCCCGCCATTAACATGAATAACCATATTATATTTAAAATTAATAAGAGGAACAATATTATGAGGAAACCATACTATTCTCTCTTATTCCAAGTAGGTCTTCTTAGATATGCTGTCATCATTGGAACTTAAGGGAGTTCAATCTAGAGTAGGTCAAAAATAAGTAGTAACACAGGAACTAGCTCAGATGACTGTATATGAAGTTGTTGCACCATGAAGAAAAAGTCTCAAAACCACCAGTATTCACTGAAGCAACTGTATAGCAGAAATTCTAATATACAGAGAATAAACATATAGCTAGGCTTCTAGACAAACTAAACCTGAAGTAATATTTTTAATTTCCATTTTAAATGGTAGGGATGCCCCTTACACATTTTGCTACTTATCTAGCTCTCTCTGTTCAAATGAAAATGAACAAACAAAAACCACTCCAACAACACCTGCCTCTTATCATCTGTCCAGAAATGCCTGAGGAGCAATTTCAGACAGAATCCATTTCAGACTGTATTGTATATCAAAGCCAAATAAACACCCCATAGTCTCTTTAGCAAGCACTCAGGGTTGCTTACAAAGCTTCTCTGTTTTTTAATATCAGCTGAGGCAGGAACCCCTTCTCCCTTTTATTTCAGACAGAAATCCAGGGAAGGACTATCTTAAGAGTGTATAGCTCTTACTTTGCACTCAGACAACCGAATTTACATGAGATAAAACGTTTCACAATCTAAGATGGAGCAAGTTCTTGAAATGAGAAAGGCACACAACTTTAGGAACTTGCATTAACATTTTCAAGGCCATAAACAGTTGCACGGCTTAACCACATCAGGCTAGCTCTGTTTTTAGAAGTCCCTCAGACAGAAGTTACTCTGATCTCCTAAAGGGAACAGATGGAAGTAGAATTAAATTTCTCAGTTTTTAACAGGCCTGCCTTCTGATGACCAGCCTATCCATTTCTATGATTTCCAAGTGAGGCACAATACACTTCTTATACAGAGTATCATAGCAATTTGCTTCACGTTTTCCACCTCAAATGTTTTCTCTTACTCCAAGGATCTAAAATCTTAAGGCTCAAGCAATGATTTTACGAGCTATCTTGTTAACTAAACTATAGTGAGTAGTTTTGTTCTGCTACTCTACAACAAAGACATAGCAGGAAAATCTAGTTTAGTTACTTAAAAATAAAAAAAAAAGTACATGCTAATGTCTTTTGTCTCACATACAGAAGGGCCTGTTCCAGTACTTATGGAAGATAATAGCAGAAATAACAGTGAAACAGAACTAGCCATAGAACTACTCTGCACTATCTAGCTCCATACCAACATAAAGGTCATCTCCTCCAAGAAGTAAA